CYTKKCAGACTACTGGCTGCAYTGGAAATTTCTTCCCACTTCTTTGGAAATTCCTATCATTCCAGGAACACTGGCCCTTGCTGTGTTCTTGTGCTAGTTTRAAAGMAACCAGTGGGGGAATTACCCTCACACAAATAYGTTGCGAGAGATTCTAAGTCAGAACTACAATTTAATAGGAAAAAATRAAATAGAGGCAATAATACAGAAATACCAGCTTAAATTGACAAAGTCAGAATGCAACCTGTTGAGGAGTGGTGGCTGCAGCCCCACTGGAGCAATGGATGTGGTCTTGTCCAAGTGATGATCCTGATGACAGGTTGACTCCACCTCTGGAGGTCCAGTGGTGGTTCTCGAACTCTTGTCCTCTGTGTCTTAGTGTTCCAGAGCCTCAGCTTATATGCTGGTAGTGATGTCCAGTTTCTCCTCTCTGGGTGGGGCATCTCACAATGGGATGATGTAATTCTAGTCATTCCCAGAGTCCTTGAGGGCCCATTAGCAGAGAGAGCCCCCCTGGAGGATGTTATCAGGGCTGACTCCCGTTAAAAAAAAAAGAGTATTCCACCACCTGGTTTTAACAGCTTATGGAGATGGTAATAGAATGCATACTTTTTGTTTACACCTTCCATGTAACCTAAAACACTTTCTCAGATCAGGACTGCTGGCAGTCACAAATACAAGCGATCTCAAAGATCATCAAAAGCCTTTCATTATAGAAAAGCAGAAAGATGAGAAAATTGTACAGAAGTCTACATAAAACACCAGTTTGTTTAGGKTTTTTTTTTTTTTATCCTGGGCAAATATGACATTACCATGTCACTATTTACCCAGCTTTATGAAATATCAGAGTAAGCAATTATAGACACAATGTTACAGACAGRCATTGGCAAAGCTTCACCAACAGTTGGCAGCTGAGACAGAAAGAAAAGATGTAATTAGGTGGTAGATTCTTAACAGGGTTTTCGCAATTGGAGTTTGAAGAGCCACACTGCTGATGTCACATTTGACATGACAGTAAGAATCAGGCTGTCAACACAAATGCTCTCTTGCAACAGCTGGGGGACTTGAAGGCTTCAAGAGTCCTGTTAGAATGAGGAAATATTGGGGACCCACTGCAGTTTCTGATTGTGATGTATTTCTCTAAGGCTGCTCTATAGTATAACTGAATGAATGAAACATTCCAATATGCAGAGCCCAAGGRGCCCTTGTCTGAACACAGGCTTCTTAAAAATACCTTTTCCACTAATACAGCAAATGGAGCTTGGTGTTGGCTCTGGATACTGCGCAGAGCAAAAGACTGGGAACTATCTGCTCTTGTTGAGCGTAAGGGTGGATGACAAACACAATCCTCCTTTCTAGGCCTGAGAAGCGTCGGATGCTGTCAAGAACAATGACGTCTTTTAAAACATCCTCTGCTAGCCCCACAATCTTCCTCACCCTGCCCTTGCTTAGTTGTCTTTCTAGCTGAGGTTGCAATATCCGTCTGAACTGCTGAGCTGCGAGACATGTGCTGCACAGGATTGCAATATCTTTGAGGCGATAGCCTTGCTCAATGTAGCTCTTGCAGTGCTTGGTCACATACTCTGCCACTTCATCTGCTTCCATATTTTCCTTTTCTATGTAGTCACCTGACAAAGAATGGGCACATTCTGCCTGATTCAACAACCTTTCCAGCACTTTATAGGGCACAACTATGTTACGTTCTTGCAGGATTTTCGACATTCGAGAAAGCATGTTATMGTATATATGCTTGGCATTACGGACCACCTTGGTCATCCATTCCTGAGGGTACAGTTTGGAAAAGTCAAGACCACAATTATATGGGTAGGTGGTCTGGAAGAAATCCAGGAAGACCCAGAAAACACCATCTCTTTCCTTGACTATCGACCAGGCACGTTTGTACCAGTCTCCTTCATCACGACGAAAATTCTGAGCTTCATCAACCACAATGTGTTTCACGTGTGGGAAGTTGTCCTTCAGGAAGGCAACACGTGTCACAGCCTGGCAGATCTCATTGCTATAAAAAAGGAAACAGAAACTCAAAACCAARCAAGGAAAATCAACTTCAGATATGACCAGCCATTGTTGGCTGTCTCCATCTCTCCACAGGTTCTTAATTGGAGGGCTTGTCATGCCAAACAACACCAAACTGACCATCTCARCTGGGCAATGTTGTGTCATTTTCCCCACGGACACATTTATTCCAAGGGACTGGCTGTGTGTAGGTATTGCTACACAGTCCCCACCACCTTTGGATCTCACCCAGGAGGAGACTATGTTACGTTCTTGCAGGATTTTCGACATTAGATAAATGTCCTACATGGTCCCCAAGTCAAGGCTCCCCGGGGTGGTCCTCCAACTGCCCTGATCTCCTGTGGTGCTTGGGCTCCCACGGGAAGGATGAGTTCCCTTTTCTGCCGGGTGAGCTGTGACTGGCAGCACTTCTGCTGCCTGCAGGGACCATGACCCGATGCTGGGCACCGACAATACTGCGATTCCCTGATGCCACATGCCTTGCCCRCCATGGTGGCCTGCTGACCTTCTCATGCTGCCACAAGTGGAAACGCAGCAAGAACAGGGTTGGGGAACTGCTCTGCCTCAAATGCTCTCCCCAAAGAACCCTCTGTTCTCCATGTTTACATGGCCCAGGGACCAGAGCAGKTCCTGGCATAGCTGTACAGCGCCTGCAGCGGGCCCAGTACAATATGTGCTGAGGCAGCAGCAGAGGCCAGTGGGCGGGCACTTTTGGGGTCAGCACCAGCTCTAACAGACCATTACACTGCRGCCATTGGCTTTGGAAGTCTAACACAGTCCTGCAATCCCCAAATGTGGGATGCTCACTGCAACCATTGTAATGCTAGATCTGGGCCAGAGCTCAGCTCAATCCCCCTTTGAATATAAACACTTTCCTTGAGATGAAGGTTATGTGTTTGTGTTGGGCAAAGTTAAAACTTAGGCAAAGAGAGGGAAAATCAGAAGGGCTTGSGCTGCAGGCATAGAGGGTGCAATGACAGAAGAACGAGGAAAGACACATGACTGCTTACCCAACAAAATCCCTCAAGGGYTGATTTTCACAGATGTAAAGTATCTCCTCCTTTGAAGAACAGCAAAATGTGTTTTTTATTCTCTCAATAATCTTCAAAGCCACAATTGTTTTCCCAGTTCCAGGAAGACCAAGGACAAACTGCTTCCTGACTTTGTGGAGGTTGTTGGAGATCAGTTCATATTGTTTGAGAGTGAGAAGGTTGAAAATCTCACAGCCAAGACTGTCACTCAAGTAGGACTTAAAGGACAGCACAACAATCACAAGTGCTCGCAGGAAGGCAGGGATATCCCTGGCGGTGAGGATGTAATTCTTTGGGTACAAGCTGGTGGAATCAGACTGGGCTTCTTGCCAGGGAACATCATTCTCTGCAATTCCCATCTGGTCATTCGTGTCATTCAGCTGCAGGATTTGGGAAATCACACACACTCTTGAAGTATATCCCCCATCATTGACCAATTTTTGCTTTAAGGCACGAGCAGTTTCTTTCCAGTTTCCAGAYGTGACACAAGAGGCATCCCTGACTACAGTAAACAACACTGGATACTCACTGTCAGCTACTAAGAGAGCATCACAAACAACATCCTGGTTTTTCTGCAATCCAATGTCAAYTGCCCAACTCCTGGAAAGTATCAGTACGCCCCTGGTAAGTCCATGGAGTTGTTTTTTCAATAAATCCTCTAAGCCGGGATACTCTGAGAACAGATCGGTGCAGATGGATTCTGGCTTCCATATGATTTCATTAGAACCCACTAGACAAAAGAAAGAAATCAAAAATTAGAAGAGAAAAACACAGCAAATTATTTACTGAACAGACCAGTTACTAGGAGAACATGTTATACCATGATCATCAGTGATTCATTACTTTGATTTCAATCATGCTCAAAATAATTTATTCTCTCCTGAGAAGACTTCTCCTCCCTGAGAAGACTTCTGAGCATAACAGRGGTCAGACAGTACTCAAAGTCCTGGAACACCAGGTATATTCTCAGCARTTGTGTGCATGAGGGATTATACTTAATGGCAAAAATATGTCAAAATAGCTGAAAAATCAGGGAAATCAACATTCTCAGAGCAGTTKTGTCTTTTAAAAATACCCTAACACTACTTTGCCTAAAATCTGAAATTGATATAATGCTATCTTCCTTGAAGTTCTGTCAAATGCAAGCTTAAATGAAGAAAGAAKTCCAGAATAAATATCTTACCTGGGTAGAGACATTCTTGGAGTTCAGCTGCACACTGGAGATCAGCTTTGCAATAAACTGGCTTGATCAGAGGAGGGCCATKTGCCAAGCTGAGCTGAGTCCGAAAATTGTCAGCCAGATCTGCTAGATCTTGGAGGGAAGAAATTTATGCTATACCCAACAAAATCCTTCCATATGAACTGGTTACCCAACACTAAAGAGTAACTAAAATGATGGATTTAAAACCTCCCTTTGCAATCGTTCCCATGAAAATGCTGCCCAAACAGTTCAGAATGACAGGACTCCATTATTGAAGCTCTGGTACAGGGCAGTCCAAAGTACTGCTCCATCCCTGGAAGTGTCTAAGACYAGGCTAGACAGAGCTTGGAGCCACCTGGTCTAGTGGAAGTTGTCCCTGCCCATGCCAAGCAGGTGGGCCAACATGATCTTTAAGGTCCCTTTGAACCCAAACCATTCCATGATTCTATGGCCTGTATTTGCCATAGAAAAGAAAGGGCTGTCTCTAAAAGGTGGCTTTACAGTTCAAAGACAAGATCTAGACCCCATGTGGGAGGAGTTTGGGACCTTAGCTTTGGAAGGGGAGGGATTTCACAACAAAGTAGGGCAAAGTGCTCTAAAACAAACCTTGCAMCCTGCTCCTTCAAAACAGCCCTTAACAACCACAGAGCTGCACTGAGCACCTGCGCAAAGTGCTCCCCATGGGAAGCAGCAAAAGGAAGGACTTGTTTTGTTTTTCAAAATAAYCACTTTTGGGCACCTCAAGGGCCAGACTGGCATCAGGACATCACCCCCTCCTAAACATCTCAGCACACAAAGTAATCTTCAAGTGTTTACTGCAGTTTAGTGCAGTAAGGGAAGCTTCAGGGTGATCTAGAATCTTCCCAATTTGTTTAGGGATATGAGACCCCTAGGAAGGTTTATTCCTATGGAATAAGTGGAAGTGCTTTGGAAGTGCTTCAAGAAGACCTGCTGAGCAGATTCAGAGGGCAGGGTGCCACTGCAGACCACTGATTGCACCATCATCCTAGTGCCCATGGCTGGGCATGGGCCAAAGACCCCCTTCTAGGTTTGGTGAGAAYACTCATCCAAACAAGTTGGTCTTTCCTCCTTAACATTTATGGCCCCAGGCAGAAATTAAGTTGGCATTAACATAAATACACATTTTACCTGGGTCTGCAGCTGTCATGAGCTTCATCCATTTGCTGATACTCAGTCTTTCAATTTTGTGACCTGTCACCATCCAGGATTCAGGGTCACCATTGAACACAGGGCAGCAGGAAGGTTCAATGCGCACGGCACAGACACAGCCCTGCGAACAGCCTGCTYGGTCATAAACATCCAGGATGTGCGTCTGGAACTGCACACCAGCCCCAGAGCCACAGAAGTGATGAACAGATGTTGAGCCAATGGCATCAGCCACTGTTTGTTCTAAGGCTTCTTTCTCCACGTTACTGTGGGTTCCGGTGACTTTACCATCATCATCCACRCCAAAAAATAAATATCCTCCCTCAGTATTTGCAAATGCAGATACATATTTAGGAAGGCATCTTCTAATGTATTCCAAGATATTCTTCGTGCTGTATTCCTTAAATTCAATATGCATTGTCTCTGTGAAACCCAGGACCTCCCCTACCAGMACTTTGTCCCTCTTCATAAACCTGGCAGCGGCATCTTGGATATCATGCTCCTGTATATTCAGAGGAGTCTCCTTTGCTTCCCCACTGAAAGTCACCCTAGCTCTCTTGGTGCTCAGCTCATTCTCATTGTGGCACTTGGCACGGCTTTTCTTCCTCAGGAATGCAACAGCTTCTGTGGAAGTCATAGGGTAAACTGAAGTGTCAGACCTATAAAACAAACCAGTGCTCAAGCTGCAGAGACGTGGCTTTGTGGCTGCACTTCCCTGCTCTGGGCCTCCACAGCTCCATGTTTTAACAAAAAGCAGCAGGTTACTCCCCTTCTGCATCCACGTGAAGTATTCAGAGGTCTTGTTGCCACTGACGCAATCTCTGAGGCTCCTCTCTATGTCCTCACCAATGCCATGCTCCTGGAAGCAGTAATTCCTGTCCTCACTCTCCATCCTCACTATTCCTCCTCCTGAATTCAGCAGCGCATACACTGCTATGGAAAGGACATTTCGTTCGCTTTTCTGAATGCTAGAACTCTTCTTTCTGGAATTCTTTCCTAAACATATTTTCCCGATATCTACCACCACATCGGGATAGTTCGTGTTCAAGTCAATCAGCAGCGGACTTTCCTGTCTGGCCATCCTGATCCTGAAAAGATACGATATTAAAAACACTTCATACTTATCACAGAATCATCAGGTTTAGGAAAGCCTTTTGAGACTACTGAGTCCAACCATTCCCCCAGCACTACSAAAGCCATCCCTAACCCATGTTGCAAATTGTGACATCTATGCATCTCTTAAACCACTCCAGGGATGATGACTCCACCACTACCATAGGYAGCCTCTCTTTCAGTGAGAAATTTTCCCCAATATCCAACCTGAACCTCCCCTGGTGCACCTTGAGGCCGTTTTCTCTTGTCCTTTCCCATGTTCCCTTGGAGAAGGGCCCAACCCCCACGTGCACCCTTCTTTCAGGGAGTTGTAGAGAGTGAGAAAGTGCCCCCTGAGCCTCCTTTTCTCCAGACTGAGCCCCCCCCAGCTCCCTCAGCTGCTCCGCATCAGACTTGTGTTCCAGAGCCTTCCCCAACTCCACTGCCTTTCGATGGGCATGCAAAGAAGGCACACACACAGTAGTCGGGACTACTGTGTAGTAGAAAAAAATGGGAAACATTGGAAAATGGGAAACATTGGGAAACGAAAGTGAAAATCATTGTTTAAAAGCGCAATCAGGTCCGAGCGCGCTGGTGCGACGGCCGGTGGTTTATGAGGGAATTGCTGGGGCTCCGACACTGCCCTGAAGCCACCTGCAAAGCGCATCCCCGCTCCCCGCAGCCTATTCCTCCCAGCCCCGATCCCCTGCGGGCGAGGAGCCCCGAGCCGCGGGCAGGGCCCCCGGGCGGGWAGGGGCGGCTGCAAAGGGCAGAGGGGCCGCCCCAGGCTCTTCTGCTCACCCGCCCTGGGCCGGTCTCGCTTCCGAGCGCTGCCGCCGGTTCGGTTCGGCTTCGGGGMACTGGGCAGACGAGTGTGCGGAACCGGGACCCGTCGCTGACCAACCCTGCCGGGGACGAGAACTCCGGGCTGGCTCCGTAGGCGCGACTGGCGCAAAATTCCCCGCCCTGTCCCGTCGGGCGGGAAAGTTTAGGAACGAACTTCCCGCCCCTTTCTCTCTCATCTCTTCCGTACCCGCGTCGCCCGCAGCGGACGCTGAGCGTATGTTTCAAATAATTTATTCAGTGCTAAAATAACTTTCCACTTCCTCGAGCGGCCGCGCCTTCGCCAGGCTCGATCGCGGACTCGGCGAGACGGTAGAGTGACTGCGGGGGGGACAGCAGAGCCCCGGGGCTCCGCAGTGCACAGCCACCAAACCTCATGTGAGGCGGTGTAAGAGACCGTACGTAAGTCCCTTGACTGTCTCACGATCTTCGAGATGGACAGAGACTGATCACCCCAAAAACCCCAAGGGGAAGAAAGGGGGGACTTTTGCTCAAAGGAGTCCGAGCCAGATCAAGGTGGGATGACTGTCAAGTTTCCAGCGCCTATGCTGGGAAGTACAACGTGTAAGCTATGGATGCTACACCGTTCCTGACGTGACGGAGGAGAACGGTACGACCCCATGCTGAAAACACTAGACATTCTTTCCCCACCGCTTGGCCGGTTTTTCCGGTAGCTTGCTGCCACCCGCTCTCAAAAAGACTATAAAAAGTCTCTCTGAAAAGGCCCCGATGGGGATCCCCCGCAACGGACTGTGGACGAATCTATGAAATCTGGACCGCGCGGGCTCGTCGAAGCCGTTTGGTAGCTATAAAACCCACTCTTTCTACTCTTTCTTTCTTTCTTTCTTTC